AATTATTTTACTCATTCCCAGGGTGGGGTTGAAGGGGAAAGGAGCAGGCAAATTGCTTTTTGTTAGCTCCTTTACAATGGCAACAACAACAAAACAACAATTATTCCCATCCTTCCAGGCATCAATTCCAAAATTCTAATATGAAGCAAGTGTAATTATAATATTACCATCCACACGCATTTGATCCTATAGCTAAGTGATAAAAGCAGACTCCTAAAATTAGCAAGCCAGGTAGGAAGAGCGTGGGGTTTTAGAGGCAGGCAGACCGTGTTTACTTGTGAGCCCTCATTTTCTCATTGGTAAAATGAAGACATCATTCTCAGAAGGTTGTTATGAAGGTCAAACGGGATGATGCATGTGAAGTGCTCACTCCAGAGCAGGCACTCAATGCATGGTAGTGGCTCTTGTTAACTTATAATATAAACCAAAGACGTGTGTTTGAAACTCGCAACTTGGAACACCAAAAATAATTCATTTATAAAAGCTATTTACTTTTATTTTTAAAGATATGCAGATCCATAGAAATTAAGATTTAGAATAAAGTGGATTGCCAGTCCAGTACTCTAAATTTAAAGGAGAGAACTGAAGCCCGGGGACTTTTTCCGGGCATACAGACAGCCAATGAGACTGGTTCAGAAGCTAGGTCTCCCCATTCCATCCAGTGCTCTGTCAATGGCACCATATGGGTAATCACATTGAGTTCTATCTCCAGCTACTCATGACCAAACTATGTGCCTTGCAACGCTCTGAGAGGAAGAGATCTCCTTCCTAACTAGGTGGCCAAAGCTGCACCTCCGCTCAGTGGTTCTCCAACTCACTCCCCAAAGGCATTTCAGGGAAGCCCAATGAGACCAAAGGGGCAGGCTCCCCTTCCATCCTCGCCCCCTCCCACCCCTCTCCTCCAAGAGATTTTGTATAAACAAGTCTTTTCTTCTTTATCCAAATTTTAGGAGAGGAATTTAAAGGAGAGAAAAAAAATCTTGATTTTGTGCTTAAGAAGCAAAAATTCTCTTTCTGAACAAAAAATTCCTTTATACTCAAACATCAGCCTACTGACATTAGTCTCTTGAAGGCTCTACAACAGTCTTTCAGATGTCAGGAGACCTGAGAAATGAGAGGCTAAATTTTACAAATATATGTAACTGTTAATTCTTGTAGGTATATCTTTCTCATATCATAATTGTTTATTGAAAACTACAAAATTTCCCTACACTAATTATTCTGAGCAAGTACATGAAGATTTCTGTTTCCATAAATATAGTGGGCTGCATACTCTGCAGAGCTTTCCTACAAAAACACAGCTAAATCCTAGGTAAGAGACGACATCATATGGTAGAGCTCAGTTGAAAATAATGGAAATTTCCCAAGGCAAAGAGACAGAGACAGACAGACACACACACAGAAAGAAACAGACAGATAGACAGATACAGAGAGGATAAACACGAAGAAGAGAGATGAAAGCAGAAGACTGGACGGTAAGTTAATATGAAGGGAAAAATGTCTATGTAAGCACAAAGCCTCAGGCCCTCCTCCAGATGAGAGATTTGAAACTAAGACTGTGCTGGGGCAGGACAAAGGGGGCTAATGTAGTCCAGGTCAGTAGCAGTTTTATGCACCTAATAAAGTAGTCTGTTAGCGTATTTGTGAATACAAATCTAAGTCCTCCCCAGAGGAAAGCCTACCCTATTTAGGCCTTCAGAATTCCCACTGATTAAATTCAACATGAGTTCATAATCAAAAATTTCCAAACACAAATAATAAAATAAACCATTACATGTTAGAGTCAACGGAAACAACCAGCAGATTTAAACCCCCTAAGACTTTAGGTACTGGAAATACTAGACAAGCATATGGAATAACTATGTAGAAAAAGTTCAAAGAAATAAACGATTAAATTTTAAAAAATGAATCAAAACAAGAGACAACCAAAATAACCAGGCAGATTTTTTAAAAGAACAGAACTTATAGAAATAAAAAATATAATCAAAGAAATTAAAAACTCAGTGTATGAGTTAAACAACATATTAGACACAGCTAAAGAGAGAATTCAGAAACTAAAATGCAAGACAGCAAATACAGGTAAGTTATAGTTCATGAATTTTATGGTTTTTGTATCATTAAAGAGGAGAGCTGAGGGACTTTTTTTAAAGTATGCATGGTAAAATTTCAGAGGTATGCACTAAAAGAATAGAAGTAGAGTGCATATCATTTAAATAAGGGGAGGAAATAAATGGAAAAATAAGTAAAATCCAAAAATTGCCAAGAAATGAGAAAAAATACAAAACACAAATTAAGATGATAGATTATAGTAAATATGATTGACTAATTTTCAATCCACTTAAAATATAGCCCACTATATTTATGGAAATAGAAATCCTCATGTACTTGCTCCTTATAATTAGTGTAGCATTTAAACCAGTTAAAAGTCAAAGAGTATCAGATTGGATTTTAGTCTCTAAGGCCCCAAGTATAGCCTAGATTCCTCTCTTCCTCTTGCCTAAGAGGTCTTGCTACAGCCACTACTGACATTATTGTTCAGTCTCAATGATATTCTGTAGCCTCAGTTCAAAGAACTTTGCAAATACAATTTCCTGAGCATGGCCACTGGGTGATATCTCCCCAGGGAAGTTGCCTGCAAGAAAACTTTAAACTTGGAAACGAAAGCATTAAGAAACTCGCATTTCACATTTGGGTTTGGTTTCTTCCTTTTACAACTGGCTGCATACAAGCAATGCATCATTCTGGGCATGGACACAAGTAAAGAGTTGGACTTTCTTCAACACTTTGCCTCGGGTTTTCCTCCTTAGCCAAGCATATCCCAGCACCCCATGCTAATGAAAGACTTGCTGCCAGAAAGCCGAAAAGAGGCCACAGCCCAGTGCTGCTTCTTCCAGTGAAGAGCCCCTCTCCAGGGCTACTGGCACCACCGCTGGGCTGGGTCCCACCAGGGCTGTCTTCACAGCAAGGTCTGGCCTGGGAGCAGGATTCCAGAGGCACTAGATGGATGGCAGGCACAATTCAGGGTGGATAAGACAGCAGGACTCCCTCAGTGTAACTCCTTAACCAAGAAGTTTACACAGAAATAACAGGACAGAAAGTGTGCCTAGAATTAAATATCAGGGAACTGTCAGAACCCTGCCAAATTAATCTGATGTGAATTCTTTCAACCTTGCACTGTCCCCTGGCCATCAATCACAAAGAACAAACATAGGCTGTTTACAAGCTGTTTGGTGTGTGGGAAAAACACAGTTTCCCAAATTTTGGCCTGAATTCTTATGAGCATTTCCCTGCATTTTTCTGAAATATAAACATTTCTTTGCCCTCCCTCTATCAAAATATACACTTTCATACTTTAAATATATTTTTCCTAGAAGGCAAGTATCCTAAAAAGTCTCAAGGACTACAAAAAAGACCAAAAGGAAAAAAAAAAAGTAGTTACTTTGCATATATTAGCTTAATCAATAATATCAAGGAACAGGTGAGAGTAAATATTGTTATGGTACTATGTGTTTTCTTTCAAAATCAAATTATATCTAAAAAATGCTAAGCCTGAAATAGGTTTACAGAAGGTCATTTCAGTAAAATTTATTTTAGCTCAAGGTTTAAAAGTTAAGTATCTTTAAAGCAGGTAACAGAATTGATTTGCTCTTAAGATACTTTTAAAAATTTTTATATAGCAGTTCTGTGGTCACAAATCAATACTGAAGTATAAAATAAACTCATGTGCTACTCTATTTCAAAAGATATCCTCTTTCTTGGAGACCTGGAAATTTGCAAATATCAAAATACTAACACTACTGCTCACGGGGACTAAATATATGCCCAAATACTGCAATTTAAAATTTCCATGAACGCTATCCTCATTGTTGCAACCTCAGTTCACCCCATGGTCCTCACTCCACAGGAGCTCAGTTATTCCTTGCTGCAATTCAGACACCTCACTGCAAACCAAAATGCAAACTCCTGACCTCATTCAAAGTCCCAACTATGACCCAACCTGTATGTCTAGTCGTATCTTCCTTAGGATTAAATTAGTTAACATGAGTGTTTAAAACAGTGCCTGGCACAAAGTACTCAATAAATGTGAGCTATTACTGTTATTGCCTTTCCTTTCCCCTCCCTCCAATTCCCTTCCATCCCCCCCTTACTTTGGTCAAAGAAAACTGGGTGCTATTTTGCCAGCAGGTCTCACACTCTTTAGAGCCCTTTGCTCCTGCTGTTTCCCCATCAAGAATGTCTTCTCAACCTCACGTCTACCTGTAGATGTCCTTTTACTCCCCTATCAAGATCCTTTCCAAATCCTACCTTCTCCATGAAACTTCCTCTTGATCCCCTCAAGTGGAAGTGATCCCTTTTCAGAGAGCTCAAAGATAGCCTGTTGACATCTCTCCGGATGGCAGTCATCACCTGTGCCCTGGACTGGAGCACCATATGTATTTGGCTTATTATCCTGTCCCCAACACATACACATCTGATAAACCTGGAGGGCAGAAACTGTGCTCTATGTGTCTTCAGAGAACTCCTTTGGCACTTACCACACATCCTTGAACTGAAAAAGATACTAAAATATTTTTAATTTTTTAACTATTTGCAAAATTTTTAACAATTTCTGTGTTGAAAAAGTACTAACATTTTTATTAAAGAATTAAAGGAGATATACAAATATATATAACATATATACATATATATTATCTATTATAGCCAAAAATACATTCTCATGAATCCCTAAGCTTGATACGACTCTGCCTTGAAATATATTTTGATGGAACATATGCCACAATAAGAAACTTTCTGTCTTTGATGATTCTTTCCTAAAACATGTTTGCTATCTGTTACGCACAACCTATGTTTTAAGATTTAAAACACATTTGACACTTATCAAAGTCTCAAAATGCCCCAAACTCTAAAATCAGTGCCAAATAGCATTCAAGACTAAATATAATATAGAGAGCTTTAATATATGTGTTTCACTATAATAATCACCAATAGTTCCTTCTTACAGAAAACTCTTCTTTTCCCCAATTCATTGCTGAGGAATAAGCAGTTCCAATCCATCAGTTGTTCTACAAGTAGACATTGATGCTGGATCCAGTGCCAGGTTTCCTAGAAGAAGCAGGGTATTCTTCTTGGGTCAGTCTGGAAGGCTTTATGGAGAAGAGATGGCAGAAAATATTTTAAGCAATCAGAAAGTGTAAGCTTGGTAAACTGAATGTTAACTTTTGTTTTAGGAACCTGGCCACTCTTACTCAGAAGACCTGGAGAAACCTGCCTCTTTATATAAGTGACCTGGAAGTGAATGAAGGGGACAAGATGCAGTAGCAGAGGAAAAAGAGAAATAGCCTGAAGCATCTGAAGCAAAGATTTGGGAGCCACAAGGCAACAAGCACCTACTTATCAAGGCAGGGTCAGAAGCAAGAGAAGAGCCTGTTAAGTCCACCTCCCCAGCGGAGGCTGACCTTGAGGTCAGAGCTGGAAGGAACAGGATTCAGGGACAGGCAACCTACAGTTATCCTGGGAAGAGAAAAATGGCAGCAGGAATATATAAGAAGAGAGAGACTTCCATTGATATTGCTTAAAGAGTAGGCAATCATCAATTTAAAATTTAAGAAGAGTTCTGCTAAGTCCCTGGAATGAGACATGTTCATAAAATGTACGTGAATATACTATCACCACTATGACTTTTACTTCTGCTGCTACTACTAAGAGCTAACATTTGTCAAAGGCATACTAAGTTTTAGGAGCTAGGCTAAGTGCATTACATATACTGACCCAATGAAATTACCCAATAACCCTATGAGGTAGGTACTACTACTATGTCTAGTTTACAGATGAGACAACCAAAGCTCAGAGAGGTTAGGTACTAGCCAGTACATATCAAAGTCACGATACAAAATCAAGTCTGTCTGACTCTTCATAAGAAGACATAACATGGGCATTAGCCTTTTAGAAGCAATGTCATGAAGTTTCACAACCAAAAAAAAACCCACAAAACTTTTTTTTTGCTAATGGTTGTATTTTGTTACAGCCACTGAAGATGTGGGTCGGTTGACCCCACGGAAAGAGACAAGCATGAAGTTTACAATTCTTTCAGACTATTTCCTGTGATGAGCACTGGTCTGAGGAAGCAGAGCGCTCTGAGGAGCACAGTGTTAACTTCCACATCCCAGAAAGCAAAGCACAGGCAGTTCTCTGCCAACAAATAGTCCAGTTATGAAGTACACATTCTAAACTGAGATGAAATAGTATCCAGAGTATGCCTTAAGGAAAGAAATTTGTCGCCACAGCTTGGGTAAAGGCCAATGTTAGCTAACGATTACATCATCGAACTCAATATAGCATGCTGAAGAGAAGGAGAATTGCTGGAGATGCAGGATAGTGTTCCTTTAGTTCTGATGCTGTGAGAAAGAGTGAGAAACGAGGGAGGGAGGGAGGCAGGAAGAAATATTTGAGACTATCATTTGGGAAGAAAAAACAATTCAAAGGAGATTCCATTTTTAAGCAAGGCCATGTTACCACAGGCTTTGGGATATGAAAATAAAAACTAATAATTGGGGTCATTCATTGCTCTCTCATGCAATATTTTATTTAGGCCTCACAAGCACCTCGAGGAAAATGCCCCATCTTCAGACGATGACACTGATGCTCAGGGATGTTAAGTAGCTTGCTCAAAATCACAGAGCACAATTTGAACCTAAGGCTGTGTGGCTCCAAAGCACAGGTTCTCTCCTCCATGTCATAACCTAGAAACAAGGAGAAATGCAGAATTCCAGCTGCTCCCAGGCTCTTGGCAGCCCACCTAACACGCAGCTGATGAAAGATAATTTGAAAGTCATCAGCAAGACGTTACCAAAAATATATTGGGAAGATGTTGGGATCTTAAAACCTCATCTCCAATAGATTGTAACCTTTCAAACTCATGAACCGCACTATCTTAAGACATGGAACAGTTATTAAAATATAAGCAATGGAGAAAAACTAAGAACCAAGAAAAATAACTGGATAAGTATCATTAACTTATATTTGTATCAAAAATTCCAACACATATTAAAACTTATTCCTTCTAGCTACAAAATCCTCCAATGACTTACTCTAAGAAGGCTTCCTGCAATAACAAGCTGAAGGCTTTTACTGCTTTTACTAAAACATACAACATTTTCTGAAACACTGTATTCATTTCACAATTTATCTAGTTCATTCCTTATCCACCTCTTGGGTTCTCAAATATCTAATATTCTCAATTCCCCCCATATTTCTGAATTTGAAACATATTTCAGAACAAATAAAGTCTTTTGGCCCTGCAAAATCAAATCTTCCATGGTTTTTTCATTTTGCTTGGATTTTTATTTCAAATGTCCTCTGGTAATATCAGGGACCTTTCTCTTCTATTACCAAAGTTTTTCTGTGGCCTTGTTTTGTGCCTGGAAATAAATTGGTACACTGCAGTTGAAGTCAACATTATTTTCTTAATCTGTTTGAACGGATGAAAAGGGAGAAATGAGCAGAGATAGTAGATACATATTTGATACATCATCTGAAGTTTTCATATACAATTTCCACCTGCACTCTTTAACAGCACAGAATCTGGTATGCGAACTCTGTGGTCCCCTTTTCCAAACTCCTCTTGGGTGTTGGTTGTGGGAGCAGGGGCCTGAACCCCAGTGTAAACCCTCAGAATGTAAGCTTCTTGAGGGCAGGGATGTCATGTGACTGCTTTGTTCACTGGTGTATGCCCAATACCTAGAGAACGCCTGGCACATAGCAGCCACTCGCATATTTCCTGAATGGATGGATGTTTGGCTATAGCCACTAACTTTTTCTTAAATGCTGACCAAGCATGTCCAGTGAAGAGTGGCCAGGATAGGGTTAGGGGTCTGGAAACCACACCACCTCTTGCAAAGCAATTAAAGAAACTGCAAGTGTTCAGGTACAATAAGCAGGGATGTCGCTGGGGCCCAGGGACAGAACCCTGCTCTCCGTCCAGCCAGTAAGCGCTGAGAGTCACCGGCCATGTGCCTGGGCCAGTCACCGGAGTCTCAGTCTTCTCCTCAACTTTAAAACCCAATCTGCTATTACACGAACAAGAAAAGCATCTGCCAAATAGCAAACAGCTTCAGAAACATAAGGTGGTAGTATTTCTATATTTCACTATTTTTCACTCTTGAGGAAAAAAAGGACTTAGAGAAGAGATGATAACTTTCTTCAAATATGTGAATGGCAAGATGTAAGACGACAAGGACTCTACCCAGGTTATACTACAAGACAAAACTCCGAATAAAGGATATAAGATAAAAAAGAGTACAATACTGACCCAATAAAATACAGACCTCCCTAATAGTGTTCCTACTCACGAGAAGCTGCCTCCCAGTTAATGTTCATATTTCTGTCATTATTTTAAACAGAGGACATGTAATTCGGAAAGATTCAGAAATCTGCAGAACCAGGTTGAGTTAGAAGGGTATTAGCTAAGGTAGGCGCCAACTCAGATTCTAGGATTTAATGATACGATTTCTTTTTTGTGGCTAAAAAACTAAGTTTTTCTTGATTCTCTGCCTATGTATAAACCACTGTCAGATTACAAGCGAACAGTTTATACCAAAATGCATATTGCCAACGGCTTCCCACCTCACGCAACAGCCTCACCTTCCAAATAGTGGCAGTCACGGAAGTTCACAGTGACTAGAAAATTTACAAACCCATGAAGTATGTCCTCATAATATTGATGACTTTGGAAAAGTGCCAAGGGGCATTACACCATTTCACATCCACTACTCAGATCACATAAATATTGATTTGGTAAACCTTTCCTCAGTTTAAAGGTTCACTTGATGCAACAAGTCTATTTTAGTGTTAACAACCGTAACTCCTCTTTCCCTCTCCCCTTTTCCCTGTACCCCTGTAAGGAATACTGAATTCAGACTATTAGGTAATACCTTTAATGAAAGCTCTACCAAGGAACCTGCATAGAACAATTTTCTACAAGACCAGAAAAGAAAACTTCTGCCCTTTACCCACTTCGCCCAGACAATGACAAAACCAAACACGGGGAATATTCACATCACACACCAACAGATTTTTATCTTTCTCATTTCAGTAAAATTTATCAACTCTCCATTGTCTTTATCCTCACTGCTGAGATACTTCCAAGACCTAAGGTAGTTGTGATCCATGAATTTGAAAGAGAAGAATCTGCTTGGAGATGAGGCTTTCATTGACCATTTTTACAAGACAACACTTTTGGCTGAAAGAAAGGATGTTGAAGCCAGCCTATAAGATGAACACAGGATCTAAGAAGCAGGGGAAGGACATTCCACTGAGCAAGACTGACTTTTGCTCCCGCTCAGAGCAGCTTTAAGAGAAGAGGGAAGTCTGGAAGACTTAAAATTTAAATCATTGCAGATAGATAGCTTTAAGGAGTCAACTCTAATCAACAGCTGCTACATATCTCCCAGTCTCTTCCTTTCTATGTGTATTTCTTCTTTAAAGATTTTTTTTATTTTTCCTTTTTCTTCCCAAAGCCCCCCAGTACATAGTTGTGTATTTTTAGTTGTGGGTCTTTCTAGTTGTGGCATGTGGGATGCTGCCTCAGCATGGCCTGACGAGCTGTGCCATGTCTGCGCCCAGGATCCGAACGGGCAAAATCCTGGGCCGCCAGAGCGGAGCGCGCGAACTGAACCACTCGGCCACGGGGCTGGCCCCCTCTATGTGTATTTTTAAGAAGGGAAAATATATTTGCAATTGTTTTATACACCAATGTGTTCCAACATATTTGGAGCAAAAACATGGGTTTTCTAGGCTGCAGTCTCCTTTCACATCTACTTTTTTCACAATGTCAGGGACTCTGCTGGGTTATTTTTTTTTTTGCTAAGGAAAATTCGCCCTGAGCTAACATCTGTGCCAGTCTTCCTCTATCGTGTATGGCCGCTGAGTGGTGTAGGTCTGCACTGGAAACTGAACTAGGGCCACCGAAGCAGAGCTTGCAGAACTTAACCACTAGGTCACGGGGCCAGCCCCAGCGGGGTTTTATCAGTCACTCCTCCCAACTCCCAGGGTAGGTTTTCGGGCACATAGTATTTTTAATATTGGTTGTTCTCTGGTTCACCACAGTTCCCCACCATTCCTATACTATTTTGCAGTGACCTGTTTCATTCCTTTGTATTACATGCCTGGACCCAGAGAACTGGGACCAAACCAATGAGAGACTCTGTGAGGTCAAGGAAGCCTCACGAATGTGCAGAGATGCTTCTGGTCCCAGGCAATCCTATAAGGGCAGAGCACGAACCCTAGTAACAAAGAATAAAGACTATTGTGCGTCTTTGATGTGCACATGCTGTTTGTGGGTTGAGAGAAGACTAGGAGTTTCTTTTTTTGACCAATGCTATTATATAGACGTATATAAAACGCAACTCATCCTGAGAATAAAACAAAATTTCTTAAATCCTAGAAAAATAACCAGGCAAGGTTTTAAACTTCTTTTTGTGTGAATGAATGAAAGTGCCTCATTTTGTATTTTGGTTTTAGAGCAAGTTTGTAACTATAAAAATGCTTTAACACCCATTAGGATGGCTGTTAATAAAAAAATAAAATAATGTGTTAGTGAGAATGTGGAGAAACTAGAAACCTTGTGCACTATTGGTGGGAACATAAAATAGTTCAACCACTATCAAAAACAGTATGGTAAGGGGCTGGCCCTATGGCCCAGCGGTTAAGTTCACACATTCCGCTTTGGCGGCCAGGGTTTTGCCGGTTCAGATCCTGGGTGAGGACACGGCACCGCTTGGCAAGCCATGCTGTGGTAAGCATCCCACAGATAAAGTAGAGGAAGATGAGCACGGATGTTAGCTCAGGGCCAGTCTTCTTCAGCAAAAAAGAGGAGGATTGGCAGCAGATGTTAGCTCAGGGCTAATCTTCCTCAAAACAAAATACCAAAAAAAGCAGTATGGTAATTCCTCAAAAAATTAAAAATAAAATTACTATATGATCCAGCAATTCTACTTCTGGGTATATATCCAAAAGAATTGAAAGCAGGGATTCAAACAGATATTTGCACCCCCATGTTCACAGCAGTATCATTCACAATAGCCAAACAGTAGAAGCAATGCAAGTTTCCTTCGACTGATGAAAGGTTAAACAAAATGAGGTGTACACATACAATGGAATATTTATTCAGCCTTAAAAATGAAGGAAATTCTGACACAGTATAACACGGACGAACCTTGAAGACATTATGCTAAGTGAAATAAACCAGTCACAAAAAGACAAATAGTGTGTTGATTCCACTTACATGAGGCACCTACAGAAGTCAAATTCATAGAATGGCAGGTGCCAGGGTGAGAGGAGAGGGAAATGGGGAGTTGCTTAATGGGTACAGAGTTTTAGTTTTACAAGAAGTTCTAGACGTTGGTTGTACAACAGTGTGAATTAACACTGCTGAAATGTATGCTTAAAACTGGTTAATATGGTAAATTTCATGATGTGTATTTCACAATTAAAAATTTTTAAATAGAAAAAAACACCTTAAGAATGCTGAGACAGGCATGTAATTTTACTTCAGAACCACGTGGGGTTCTATTTTTTAATGATAGATATTGAATTTTATGTCTCTAAGACTTAGGGGAAAAAAGCCCTATCATTTGCTATTCTGTTCTGGGTACAGAGAGACCAATAAGTTCCAAGAGCTCAAAGAACATGTCCTTTTTTTTAAAATTAGTGTCTGTATCTAAGAACACAGAGAAGTCCTGCACAGAAAAGTGGGCATTCCATAACTACTGAGTGCCCGTATGTTCAAAAAATAAAGTGAAATTATAAAATTTAAGGTTTATCTTTGGGCCCATGAGTCAAAAATTTCATTTGCTTGAAGAATAGCAAATAATGCTGTGAAATCACTGCTTCCGTATGTCACAGTTTGTCAAGAGGTGGCTTGTGAAAGAACGTCACAAGCGCTCGTATAGGTTCCAACTCTCTAAATTCTAAGTTTTAGAGTCTAAGTTGTAAATCGGTAATTTTCTCAATGGAGAAGGCTGTTTAGGGTTTGTAAAGCCCCCACTGAGTGCCTTGTAAGTCCTTATAAAATGGTCATTATCCTTGAAAAAGCTGGTCTAAAATATGTTCTGCCAGTAGATGTTTTTTAAGTGTAATAATTCTTTTAATAAATACACAATGCTTAATGCTTTAGAGATAGATAATACTTGAATACAAATCTAATTCATTGAATTCTATCCTGTGAATAATTTTTACAATAACAAATGTAACAACAGGATTTCAAAAAGTAGTAACTGTATTAGTCTAATTAAATCAACCGAGCCCTTCCTAGCGCCATTTAAAAGTTACTGAGAGGGGCTGGCCCCATGGCCGAGTGGTTAAGTTCACGTGCTCCACTTTGGCAGCCCAGGGTTTCGCTGGTTCAGATCCTGGGCGCGGACATGGCACCGCTCATCAAGCTAAGCTGAGGCAGCGTTGCACATAGCACAACCAGAAGGACCTACAATTGGAATATACAACTATGCACTGGGGGGCTTTGAGGAGAAGAAGAAAGAATAAAAAAAATAAAAAAGATTGGCAACAGATGTTAGCTCAGGTATCAATGTTTTAAAAAAAAAAGTTACTCAGAAAAACAATGACTAAATGTGGTAATTAATGGAGAGGCTGCCATCTAGAGAAAACACAACACTGGCCCTTTTCTAGAGTAACTACAAAGTGCTCTTCCATACAAAGTTAACATGAGGCTAGAAATGGTTGAGAAAGCACCCTTTTCTAAAAAGTTACAGAATTACATGCCCTATATTCACTATTTGGTTTGTTTATATCCTCTGCAAGGTTGCCAGTTGTCCTGAAGTCCGCATTTACAGTCAGGATTGAGAGAAGCGGAGTGTAAGAAGAGAATGAGAGGAGGATGGCAAGGATACTGCTCTTGTGCCAGAAAGTAGATGCTGATGTGTGGTTTCCCCAACACTAGCGTGCTCGCCACAGCCTCTGCCACGTGCATGTTGTGAGGCTCTTCAGGCTGACCTTCTCCAAAGGAGAAAATACAACCTACATGCCAAGGACAGCAGTTAACGGAGACATCCAGAGTGCAGTCTACGAAAGATCTCAGCCTTGACAGCGCGATCTCTGGTGAGCGAGATGGCTCAGGTTTAACTAGAGTTCGCCCATAAACGCTCAGAAGAAGAAAAATGAGAAGGGAGAAGGAAAGAGGAGGAAGAGGAAAGAAGAGAAGTAAGGGGCAGGAGGAAGGAGGAGAAGAAAACCTGGAGCCTGCTGTAAACGCTCCTGCGATTATAAACTGAATTATCTTAACCAGCCACCAGCTCCCACCGCCCCAGGAACATCCCAGCTGCACAAACAGGGTCTCTAACGTCTGTGAGTGCCATCGTACCTGGTGTGGTCAGAAGAGATGTCAAGAAGCTCTTAGTGGGAAAACCGAGGGAATAATAAATGAGAATGGGCTGCTTGCTATTTTTCGTCTAGGGCAGAAACGAACTTAGGGACCTTCTGATATCAGCTCTAAGCCTCTCTTTTCCTAAGCACTGAAATAAACAGTTGAGAAAAAACCAACATTTAGTATTGGGGATTAAGAAGTTAAGAAGAAAATGCTGTTTTCTACAGTTACAGATATTCTCAGCATTTTATTGTTTTTAAATATGAAATATTGTCATTTATGTTACCAGTTAGGAAATTTTGACTTTTCTGCAGATATGTCTGCATATGTACAAACTCCAGCCCATGCTTACATAAGACACACACCTATGAGGAATGGTCAGGCATGGTTCTGCTTGAAACGAAATGCATAAGCTTGTTCTGAGCCTAGAATCTCATGTTTTATTAAAACTAGCAATGCTGTATATGTCTTTAAAGACATAGAAAATTCAACTGAGGAAATAATTTCAGTAGTTCTGTCAAAGTGAACACTAGAGAGATTACTTTCTCTGCTTTAAAACATTATTCTACAGACATCATTTTGTTGAGGGCAAAAAAAGAATAAAGATTCTTTCATTCTTTGTTCCCCCTTTTATTTCCTTCGATACAAATTATATGTAGTTCAGTAAAATGAGCACTTTTCTTCCAACTCTTGAAAAGAGCGTGAATTCTGATTCATACATACAAAAGTAGAAGTGAAATTATTTAGTTCAGTTTCACTGATTCCCCTAGTCTAATATGTAATGCATTAAAATTATACATGATGAAGTAAAGGCCCATTCTTAAAACAGAAGAGTCTTTCCATTACCATTGGTACCAACAGCTACAGCTGGTGTCTACACTCCTCACTAGTCAATTTTCCTCCACTTCGGTAATACCGTCCTGCCTGCCTTATGCCAGCATCACCTCCACCTTTCACCAGCACACACAAGAGTTAACGAACAACTATGAACAGACTGGTGATGATCAATCAATGGAAAGTCAAATATTAGATAGCAACTGTACTAAATACTTCCAAAATTGAGATTAGAGAAATGATGTGGGTTCTCGAGGCTTTGCTGAAGGTTTAAAATCCTTATAGAAATTAATTTACTACTATTTCAATGTAGTTCAATGACATAAAAAGTGCCTTCAGTTTTCAAAGTCACTGGAACAATTCATCAATTTTAGAAGTAGTCAGGACATGCAACATACCTAGAGTTAGCAATGCAGTAAGAATAGAAAAACACTCTCAATAATTTACAAGAATAACTTTTAAAGTGACAAGGCTGGGTTGTTTGTCCTTCACATTCTTTTTGTACTCTGTAGCAAAAAAGATCAGAATAATGTAAATATGCTATTCATTATTTAGAAAGTTCATGTGATCCATCTCAGGGAGAAAAAATGCACTATCAACACAAATTTTATGCAAAGTCTGCTCTTTTTTCATTTGGCTCACTGAACTAAGTGCAAACCATCTGTTACCTACGATAATCTGAAAAAGCAAAAATTCAAGCAGCATTTTTTTTTTTAAGATAACACAAAGGCACTCCAAACAGAACTTAATTGTTTAAAAGCACTACTTAGGGAGTTAAAATCCTAATGACTTTAGATGGCTTAGAATCCACATTTAAAGTCTTTTTAGGTTAAGATCACATTTTTCCATATTTTTGGTAAAAGCATGACACCTAAAAAAGTTGTTTGCATCATAAGAATGTCACTATACTAAAATGTCTTATTCAAATGTTAATTTCCCAGAAATTCTAAAATCGAAAAACTTGTAAGTTAAAATTGTATCTTGATCTCCATTTATAAAATTCCTACCACAGAGGTGTATTACAGTGATTACGATTTGCTGTCGCAAAAGCAGAAAGGCCCGATATAAATCAGCGCTTTGCTAAGCCAAAATGCTTGAGGTCTTCACTCTGCCCCCAGCTGTCTGACCTCAGATGAATTACACTTCTTAAGATCTATTTCTTAACCTATAAAAAGAGCCCTAAAATGTCATTCTCAGGAGCTTACCTCCCTTCTGAATCTGTGCAGCACCGTGCTTGGCATACACATAGTGCCAGGAACTCAGTAACTGTCCACACCCAGGGAGGCTGGAGATGAACAGCTCCAAAGCTTCAGAAATTGCCCATAAGACAGTTTTCAATGTATTATTTAGAGTTTAGAATACAAAACAGCTATCACAATGGTCTCCCAACTTTTACAGTGGTATAACCAAATTTCCACCATACTGAGCCTTATTCATGTATTATCATCTAATGAAAAAGTGATCTCGTTTTAAAGGTGAAATTCTCATTTTCAGGAGAGATTAAAACCGGCACCAGCCCAGGATATGTTTTCAAAGCTCTAGTACTACAAATTTTTATCAACGCCCACTATTGTGTCTCAATGGCATGTGAATGTGCTTTGTGCTATTTTCTCGATGAACACTGCACACACAAGTCCTACTCCACCTACACAACCACTATGTCACGAATGCAATGCATTTAAAAGAGGGCTTTTTGTAAAACATTACAAATCTTAATCACTTCTAAAGCAAGTTTTGCAAAAGAAAATTCTTCCCTTTGCCTCACTGTTGTACATTAAGCACATTATTATACAAACATGACAAGTAAAGAGAAAGGGTTTCAGTCAGTTATTCTACTCTTTAAAAACTGACGAGGCTCCACAGTGATGCTTATGTGGCTCTTCGGTCTGACCTTTTTATTGCTATTAAACTTTAAGTTTATTACATTCCAGAGATTTCTACAAGATGATCCACATCACACTGACACTGAGCCATAAGACTGGATTTCAAATGTCATTCTAAAGATGCTCCAATTCCAGATATGTAAAAAGGATACTATTTTTATCCACTCTTTTCTTTTCTTGCCAGTTACATATAATTTACAATTCACTTAAAATAATAATCTCAGCTAAATTTAGAATCAAACTTATTTCCATAGGTAGACATAGAAATCTGAAAATTTGGAGGAAAGAAAGGTGGCAATGCTGGAGACAATGAAGTCCAAAGTGTCTGAGGGCAGGAAACCGCTTCCACCATGGCACAAATGAGAATGGGTATCATTGTGTTACTGTCATAGCTCTTTAACTTAGAGACCCCACAACCACACCTACCTCTGAGATGTTCTCAGCTCCTCCCTGGAGGCCACAAGCAGTCTCATGTCAGCAAAAGGAAAGGAAGTATGACCAAAAAGGCCCCATCCTGCCCCAAAGGGTCCTCTCCTAAAATATTTTTCCCAGGAGCTGAAACACCTTCTGAATCTCAGGGTTATTCCGGGTTTCTGAAATTGTAGGTGTCCACTAGTTCGAATTCAGAGTCTTGAACTCCCAGAAAGCTTACATAAAATTATTGGGGCAGAGGCATTTTATGTGCATACATGTGGTTCTTCTTTCTTTCACTAAAGTATAAACGTAATCAGAATAGAGAGAATATGAAACAGCAGCAGCTCCTTCTCTTTTTACCAAAGAACAAGTACCACGAGTTCAAATACAGTTGGTCAAAATTGTATGAACCTTGTCACAAAGGCTTTCATTAGAAAATAAGTCAACGGAAGGTTTTCTTTTTCAACCCGAGTCTCTAGTTCTCCCACTTGATTCACTTATCCAATCTTTTAAGAGTTGCTCAGTTAAATCTCAGAGTCTGCTCAAACAGCATGGCCCTCAAGTTGTAAACATTGATAAGATTTTACTAAAAAGAATGACATTTAACTTCGCCTCCAAATACGTAAATTTATAATATAGATTCAAAAGCCAAAGAGAAGAGGATGTGGTAGGAAAGTAACTCTAAACACCATGAAGCTCCATAAAGACTAACCTGTGATCCACAGAAGCATCTTGTTCACCGCTTGGCACATCCTCACATGGCACAGAGCTGGTGCGCAATACCTACTCCAAGCTGAGGTTCACTCAAAAACTCAGCAGTGCCATTTTATCTTGAGGTGATGAAAAAAATGAACTCCCAGTAGGTTTTAGACTTGAAGTTACTCATTTACAAAAGTCCAGATCAACGCAAAATGTCAAATCTAAAAACTGAAATAGCAACCTCACTTCGCATGATTAATCATAGCCAATCTGACTTCATTTTCTTGCATAGGTTGCCTCGGAACAAAGGAAAATTCCTCAAGTGGCCCAAACACTCTAGAATGTTAATGAGCCCTCAGGATGGATGGACTGTCAAAGCTCATCCTAGGCTCCCTCTAGGTCCCACAGAAACGTCTCCCAAACAATTGCTCAAATTGCAATAGAATTAAAGAAACCAATTAAAACATGTTGTTGGATTCAAACACAAATATAAAATTGTGTTGTTTAATATGATCATTAAAGCAGATAAAAAGTTCATACAGAGTAGCCTGAATTTTTTGGACACAAGCTCTTCCCAGAGGAATTCATACCCAAGTTGATACAAACTATCAGCAAGTTTTCATTTGCATTTTTATCAGGACAAGTACCTACGCAAGTTGGAAACATCCTGTGGACTATGAGCTCTGTGCAAAAATAAGCACCCTTTGCTCAAAGAAACTAGGAACATTATGGAAGTGAACATGAAGTCAGTTTTAAGAGGGAAAAAAAAAAATCACTGTCTTAAAAAAGCTGTCCTTTTGAAGGAAAAGGGAAAATTCTGCTCAATACAGGTGTTCTCTACTCAAAGGAAAAACACAAAGAAGACATTTGTAAAAATTTTATTTACTAATTTAGGAGAAATTTACTTAAAATTTTATTTAGTCATATATTATTTTAAAATAATAATACAATGAATATCCATCCACCACCTAACCCAAGAATCTAAAATGAATAACATTTATTGGCCACACATGAACCAATAATGGCATAACAATAATGTGTTGCAAACGAAGAATTATGATTAATGGAATTCTGAGCATCTGAGGTCCATTAAACAAAAACCTTGTGATTTTTACCTAGTAGAAACGGATTCATCCCAGGATTCCTTTAAACAAAGATTTGCCTCATAGACTGAAGATGTAAGTCAATTTCTTGTCACCCCACTCCCACCACTTCTCAGGAACAATTATCAGATTTTTTTTAAAAAAAGCTATATTCAGGAGAAGCTGAAACCTAGAAGGTAAAGCAACGGTACCCAGCTCCACATCTTCAAGGGAATCTTCCTTGTACAATAGAAGAGCGACGTCAGACAGGAACTGAAGACTATAGTAAATATATTTCTGGTTATATAATTTCTTTTAAAATATTTTTTTCATCTACTAGGCCAATGGTAGGACAATAAACTGAACGTGTTTCCTCCTATCAGAAGAACTCTTCCCTCTCTAACATGGAATGGACCAGTATCTCCTTAGCTATCAGCATTTTTTATCAGTCCTTGGTCCAGTCCTAGCTGAAAGCCAAGACTGGAACCAACACTAAGCTGCAGATGAGGACTGCTTTCCTGGTCTTCAGAGGGACTCCTGTGGGAGAAGTTTTAAAGGGCGGGATGGCTGGAGGCCTCTTGTGATCTTTCCATTCTGGACAAGACCGTTTATGGGTTTTCAACTCATTAAGTTTGTACAAATGTACCAGGTTTGTCTAATATAACAACGCAGCTGTCAGAGTGAGAAATTAAGATAATCTCATGTTAATTTGATCGCACTTTTGCAATGACTTTATTCTTCAAGATGTCCATCTAAAACATAATCTTAATGTCTTTGAATGTCTTTCCTCTAAGACCATTCAGAATAATTTGAATTTTCAGTTAAACATCGGAATTTTATAGAGGTTGGAGTAATCAATAATGGACAATTTTGCCAAATTATTAATAAGTATTATTGCTCTCCCAAAAACAAATTTTGGTGAATAACTGCTCAGCCAGAACTCAAGTCCAAGAGACCCAAGTTTCACCAAAGAGCACCTAGAGAAGCAGTGATTTTAAAGCAATAATAGTAACCGTGATGGTGATGATAATACCTAAAATTGATTGAGCATTTAGTCTGTGTCAGGAACACAAGGGCTACTTAAAAAAAAGGAAAAGTTTAGAATGGATTGTTCTCTTTCCTCCTGACCCCTCGGCTCTTTGTATCACTCAAATGGCAGCTCTATCATTCTCTTCCCATTGTATGCATACTGGTTAACTCCTTCACTGAGTGTTCAAGGCACAGAGAATAGGAAGCAGGTTACTTATTCTTTGCTTCTCTACAGACGCTAGATCTGGGCTGTAGATATATACAACACACACTCATCCAAAATAGATTAACTGCTGATCATGGAAAACTCCAAAGAGAATATCTCATAGGATATTCTTAGAATCAATGTTACAAAGTCATATTTCCCACTCCAAGGGAATCCCAACATATCAAAACAGTATTTGGTAATTTGGTTGCACGTACAATTGCTATAAATTTTGCATATGAGTGTGGTAAATTTGGCCTATTAGTTTCACAAATATCAAATCCAGTTGTTTCCACCAAATGGATACTTTCTTGTAGAAACCAGATAGCATGAATGGGGGGGGCGGGGTGAGGGGGAGAGATATAACCCATATACTTTGGGAAAATACACTTTGCATGTGTTACAGAGATGACTTCACACCCCCATCACTCAAATGTATTTCAAGTCCTAGAGATTTTACTGTGATTTTTAAAAGTAAAAATTGAACTGCATTCTAAAAATCCGCCCCGAGTTCATATTGAGAGTAAACAAATAAGGCTGAACATGCAGAGACCCCATTTTCCGTTATGGTTCAATATGCAATAACTTAATCCCACTAGTGACTATCATCATCATCACTTACCAAGATGACAGCTAGAAACCTCGAGCGAAAGCAAGAAAAGACCCTAATCCAATAAGCTTTATCTTCTAATTATAATAAGGTACCAACTTACATAAAATCTTCTGGCCCAAACAGGAGTAGAATGGATCACAAGTGAGCTTTAAGGTTTATTACCTGACGTTTTTGAAGAGACAAGCATCTGTTTTTAAGTGGAACAGATCCACTTATCTTAAAATCTGGGAGAAAAAAAAAAGATGGGCAGAAGTTGACGTATAAAATGAGAGCATCTTAATTACAGCCATCGCTCAGCATCCTTGGTGACACCAAGCTCTATCCACTGTGACCACTAGGTCTCCACTGGAAGGAAGTGGGCTTTACTGGTGTAAACAGCACTGTGTTAGGTATAATTGTATGAAGACGTAGGGAGCCTTGATGAAGCCAGAGTGGGTTAAGGAAGGAAAAGAATTTTCCCCACAACTGTGACAAAAACTAGCAAGCATCAACAAACGACATAAAAATTCTTTGTTGTGTATTGTTCACAAAATATTCCAAAAATGAATACAACATGGTCAGGGGTTGTTTTTTGCTTTTAACTCCTGGAAGAAAGGTTATGAAATGTTCTCATATCATCCACCTCATTGCTGAATCCCAGATTAGGCTCAAGTTCTGAAGAGAGGTGCTGGTATGGCAGCACTACAAAGGGAGGGCAGGTGTGGGTTTTATTTCTCATTTTTTAATTTTTTTTGCAGAGGGAAGGCAAAAAATTAAATATATGACAGTTGCAGCACTAAATCATTACATAGGACACTTCAGCTTGATTTTTCAATCGTGGATGTTAGAAACTCCAAGATTTTCAACAATGTATCATGTCGATACACATCTAGAAAAACAGAACCACAGACTTCTCTGAAGAGAGATATCCAAAGTAAAAGCCTAAATAAGAACAGAAGAGATGTGACCCACATATTCAAATACAGCCTTTTAAACAAAAATCACACTAACTCAAATCTTAAGTTGATACTAATTGTACTTACCAATGAGGAAGTTAACTAATGGCAGCAGAGGCCATTCTCAGAAAGTTTAAGAGTTCATAAGCACGTGAAAAACAAGAGAATGCTGCTTGCTTCCAGAGACTAATAGACAGTTATGTTTACTAAGTTGGACAAGAAAAATTAATAGGTAAACCATAATCTGATTATCTTAACTCAGCTACTAAGAGAGCTTGATCAATTAGGTAGAGCCTGGTAGAAATGAATCCCCAGTTGTTGGTTTGCTTTTGTCAAAGACATCAATAACAATTCCACAGCCACAGACCACACTTCTAAAATAATGGCCAGATAGGCAAGTAAAAGAAAATATAATTTATTAGGACAAATTTGTTACTACCAGGAAAACAAACACACCAAACACCTGTGCTTGTGATGATGGAATAGTAAGTAGCATCATCTTCATATATTAGAGAGTGTGTTTGTTACTTGCTTTCTGGTGTGGACAGTACTGAAGTCATCTGTTTATAGGTGTTGTAACTTTCTATAAAATTACAACAAAACGAAAAACTACTCTTAAAATCTACCAATGAAGGGTTTCCCAAAGGTAAAAATAATTGTAGCCTCTCTTCAAAACTGGAACTACACGTTACTTTTGGTTGTCCAGTACCTGGTGTAGAGTAAGGAATCAGTAATTTTCAACGAGGAATATACATTTGAAGACAAACTGAACACCCTTTCTCAAACTATTGAAATCAGTGGCATTCACTCTACAATAAAGACACACTCAGCACGTATGTGCCAGACACTGTGTTAGGCAGTACAGTGAAGAGTCATTAAAACAGAAGACAAAGAAAAGAACAAATTCATTAGGTTTTTTTAAATCAAGGCTATATCTACATGATTTTGAATATTAAGATTAAAGATGTAGAAATGAGTTAACCACGTAGATGTTCTAGATCATTCAGACAAGTGATATCATGTAATTGGAAACTTACAGTTAAGTGAGTTTTTCAGTATTCAGTTGGATGACAAAATATTCCAATGAGGCACACAGTACTAAATATGTGACTATTTAGAAATATATTCAACTGAAAACTTTGCTTTTGTTCTAAACGTTTGACATCAGTAAGGAGTCTACAAGAAGCCAGACCTTAAAAATCAATGTGTTCATATCATATTTGGGGAAATAATAAAACAAATAGCAACCTAAAGGTGTTTTCAAGATTCTGTTCTGAAAGTTGGTCACTGAAGGGCACCAAAATAAAACCAGCAGATGGCTCTGAACACTTAATAAAATGTAGATAGGTAGATAGCTAGGTAGATAGATACGGACATATGGAGCAGCAAGCAAATACAACAAAACAGAAGGGAAGACAGAAACTAGGCTAAACAGAGAAGTTACCAAAGGAAAACTATGAGGAAAAGCCATCTGAAAAAGTAGGACTAAAAAGAGAAGAAATGGCCACAGATAAGGGCTCCAGGTGTGGCCAAAAGAGACAAAATAAGGATAACTTAAGCAAAGATGCATGAAAGAGAACAAAGGTGGAGCACACAGAATGGAGACTAGGCACTCCCACTCCACAAAGGCGAGCAGGTTTGTAATGGAGAGAAAGGTGAACTTCAAAATTCTTCAGACGCCTATGTTCAAGTGACAAAAACATAGGAGAATAAAAGATGAAAATCTCCAGAGTATTCTCAGACTTTTTCATCTCCAACAGCTACCATGTCTCCCCTCCCAGCCTTTATTCTCCTTTACAGACTCTTGACTCTAAATCCAGTGACAATGGTTAGAGACCTCGGAAACAAAAAGGCTTTGCCGATGTGCTTATGCGGCCAAAGATTCTGCAAACTGAATCCCTGCAGATTCCACGCAGAGTTTTACTCTGGTCTTCAAAGCCATGGCACACCCTAAAAGATTAAACTGGCATTCCCTAATCGAGGCACAGAGTGGAAACCAAGTAAGGGACAAGGGAGGAAATCTGAAAAATCCTAACAAATGATATGGTTTCGCAGAGTCAATCCAGAATAGCCAACTAGCATCTTTTTAGTAAAGGGAGAAAGAAAAAACGCAAATACTCTTTGCACTGAGCAATAATTTCATGTTAAGCATTAGTGCAATTAAAAGAAAAACGCATTTACCATTACAAATAGGAAAAAGCAACCATAAGAAAGTATATAATTAGAATATTCTTACCCTGTACATCCCCTAGAAAAGAATACAGACACAAAGTTTGCAATTTCCTGAGGAGGCAATTATTAATGCGAAGGGGGAAAAGAGGTGACAGAAATTTTTTTAAAGACTGGCTGGGGCAAAAACGAAAAAATATCAGGTCGGAGGCCACATACACCGTAACTTCATATCGCAGGCCCCCAGGCAAAATTCAGATAGCTCTATTTGAATAAAATCTGACGGTGTCCCCTCATTAAAAGGATGAGTGTTTCTGTAGAGACGACTAGATAAATCTTATTACTAGTCCTAAACGAGCCACCTAAACGCTGTTTTTAGGCAGTTCTGCATAAATATTTGACAGTTTGAATAGGTTGAACATTTATTTTCACTCCTGAAATCTTGGTACTGTTCCACTTCGAAAGACACACATGACGCCATGAGCGTATTTTGTAAAAGGTGCAGGACACAATCTCTGAACACGTTACTCCACGGATTAGACACGTGTAACTCGAAGTTGGAAAGTTCTCCGGAAGAACCGGTGTTGGATGATGGGCTTCGTGACTCCCTAAGCGTCAAGAATGGCATTTGGAGTTCAGAACGCTGCATGAAATCGGCTTAAAAGAGCAGAACCCACCTCAAACGAGTTTCAAACTGCCCTGTATTTTACTCGCGAATACCCCCAACAACCCCCAAGACGGGCCATGTTACCTGTCCTACCAGTCCCGAGCAGGTGTAGGATGTGAAAAGGCTTCCAGAGCTCCAGGACGTGGTCTGTACTCAAACCAAGACCCTCAAGAGAGCGGAAGGCGACTTCAGGGACTCCTCAGGGTGCACACGGTGGGACGCCCGGCTGCCCTCCCGGGGAGGGGTGCCCAGAGACCCTTGGGACAAGAGTGGCTACAAGGTCCCCCGCGGAGTCGCCGTGCCAGGCGGTCTCCCAGCTCCCGCGACCCGCGCGCCCGAGCCTGGAGCGGAGGGCGAGGGGCCGCGGCGGGAGCCCCTCCCGCAGCCCCGGGACGCTCGCGCTCAGAGCGGCCGGAGCGCGGCCTCGGGACAGCTGCGCGCAGCCGGCCGCGGCCCTCGGCGCCCCCGCCCCAGCCCCTCCGCTTGGGCCCCGGCGCCTAGGCCGCCCCTCCTGCGGCCCCTCCGCGCGGCCGGAGACTTGGCAACTTACGGGGGCCGCGCCGAGGGGGCGGCGGTGGGCGAGCGGCCGGCGCGCGTCGGGGCCCGCGGCTCGGGGAAGCGGGAGGAGCGGCCGCCGCCTCTGGTCCGCGCGGAGAAGAGCGCCCGGGCAGCCGCGCCGCGGAAGGTGGGCTGGGCACGTGGGCGCCCCTCGGGGTAGCCGCGCAGGGGGCGGGGCCCGGGGCGGGGAGGCCCCGCCCCCTCCGCGCCCCCGAGCCCGCCTCCCGCCCCGCCCATCAGGGCCGCGCTCGCCAATGCTCGGGGTGGGTGGTGTCCGGCCGCCGCCGCGGGGACCGTGTGCGGCCGGAACTGGGGCGCCCGTGGGCGTGCGCTCGCCTGGGGCTCGGCCGGGGGGCGCCCGAGGGCGGCCGGCTCCTGGGGCAATGGCCTGGGAAGCCGGGCTCTGCAGGAGGGAAAAACGGGGCGGCCCGTGAATTCTTGCTTCTCCCGGAGGAGGACCCAACCTTGGGCATTTCTGCAGCTTCTTCTAAGCGGAGTTCTTCCAAATGGGGATTTCGTCCCGCGTTTACTTTCCCTTTTGAGAAGACTTCATAAATAAGAAAATAATGAGAATACAATATAATAATGATGCGGATCACTAGAAGCCCAGATGGGTGTGCTTTGTCAGATAGTACTAACATCACCAGTAAAAGCCATAAGAGTTTATGAAAGTGTGCAGTTGCTATTTTGAAAATTCCGGTAATGTGAATCGGTCGTCCTGATTATTTGGGGGTGGACTGTAAGAAAATGACATTTGCTGTGTCCAAGCGAACAAGAGCAGAAGTTACACAATCAAGGTTTCTCATACTGTGCTATTGTTTACTTTAGGAGTCTCTGATAAGATTAAAGTCACAATGTGAAACTCTGTTAATTTTCATGCAAAAGGAGGTAAAACACTGGCGCTGAATTGAACAGTGAATGTATATTATCATTTTTGTTTGATAAAAAGAGTTACCTTATTTTGTTTAATAGTGTGGTAAACATCTCTTTATTCATCTACTAGTAATTTTATTAACTTTGGCAAAGTGCCAGATTCATATTGCTGCATTACATTTATTTTTGATATGATGTTCTAATGTCATTCTTCTTTAAGACGTGTTTCCCAGGAGAATCTGATTAAAGATTTGGGCCTTCACTCCAGAAAATGGTACGTGCACAAAATCTCATGACTCTTCCTGAAGTTCATGTACCCCATGAAGCCATCTATGAACCCCATTAAAGAAATGCAAGCCTAAATAGCACCATGGCTGCAAGGATATTATCTGTTCTAGTAAATGTCCTAAGTAATAGAGACTCTGTCAATATAAATTTATTTTTACAGTATAAAAGAGATTCCTTACACAAATAATCATTAACGTTGAGGGAAATGGTAAGTGTTGACTCTGACACCAGATTCACTCAGCCCACGGGGCTGGGAGGCATTGCACAAGAGGGTGAAGACTCAAAACGCAAGAGATTTTGTCTAATTTCTAAGAGTGAGAGATCTGATTTAAAATTTTTTCTCCTGGTTCTAAAAAAAAATAGTGGCTGTTATTTTCAAATTTAAGAGAGTATTCCCCCACATCTTTTTATTTAAACACCCTAAAGGGACCATCTGATTAGGTTGCAGCACAGTGATTTGGGATAAACTAATCTTTTTGACATTTAGAAACTGCCAATTTAGTCAGAATACCAAGGTTTGAGTTTATCTAGTAATCTGACCATCTGATTTTGTTGAGACAAGAACACGTTGTGTCCGTGTGTGTGAATAATAAAAACTACTTCATCTCTAAGTAAAAATGAGCAAGTCCTTTCTAACAAGCACGGTTTGATGAATATCTTGACACACTAGAGTCTTTGACATATATTCCTTTTCCTGTTTGAAATTATTGATTACCTGTGAATCCCGCATCTCATCTTTGGTTATTTCTCAACCTTTAAAATGTGTTTAGATGTAGAAAGAATAGAATGTTCACAGATCTAGTATGAGTCTCTAAGATGGACTATGAGAGACGAGGGAAATTAGAATAGAATATTAACAAAATATTTGAAATGGATGAAGCTATTTTGACTTCATCCTTATTTGCATTTCCTTTTGCGCTACTCTGTTCCTGCTAGTCAGAATGGACTTTGCATTTTCTTCCTAGTTGAGTCATGCTTCCACCCACCTTCTCCTACCTCACCCTGTCTGGAGTACTGCAACCACTTTTCACTTTTGTCTGTCAAGCTTCCTCCATAGGAATGAAACAGAAAATCCAAGTTAGTTATTTTCAGCAGAAGGAGTAATCTAGGTTGTTGTCTTCCAAAGATTTCATAAACTTTTGTGCGTGTCTGAACTGCTAAGGTTTTATGAAATTGCAGGGAAGTTCAAGGGACTTTCCTAGCTGAATAAATTCCACACCTTGTGCTCCTACACTTGCCAAATACAACCCAGAGTAAATCTCATGTCCATGAATAAGGGATTTACTTTAACTACGGAGACAGAATGAGTTGATTCTTAGTTTTCATTTTGACTCCGTTATCCCTAAACTATTTCAGCAAAGACAAAGCTAAAATCCCCCAATATTTTTTTAAATGGTTGGATAGTGGATATTTTGATGCTTATGTTATCATTGGTGAGACTCGAGGAGAGAAAGGATTGGATCAGAGTTCAGGCCACTAGGCTTTCGAGGGCTTTCAGGCCACCGTTGTTCTCCACTACCCTTTCAAAAATGTGTAAAAACTTAAAGACAACTTTCTACTGGACACTTTCCATATTTGCCCATCCCTAAGGTAAGCAATAAAATATTGAAACAATGGTTCTCAAAAAATACAAGTCCTTATAATGACAAATTATGTTTTAAATTCATATTTTTTTATCTTTTAACTAAGACCAAATAATGGTTTTGCAAGGGGTTCAGTCCTGAACTGCTCTCCCTGTGAATTTCCCTGCATCCTGTCACTTCGCTTGTTTCTTTACATTGGCCATTAATCAAGAATCGCCCAGAACTCCACCCGCTCTGTGCTGCTCTGTTTCCTTCTGCCAGGAGTCCTGCTGGGACTGTATCTGCTGGAAAAAGTCAGCTTTCTCAATCCAAACACCTTCAGTCAGCCTGTTGCTCTAAGGATTGAAAACTGGGGGTTTAGAAGAGAGCTCAGCTAATGTAAAGCCTTCTTTTTTCTTCTTCAGCCCTGACAAAGGTTCTCTCCTGACCATATCTCAGTGACTTTTCTCAGTTCTCATTAGCCTCAAATTCTCTCCTGCTTTCTGTCCTTTTCTGTCTGGAAATCGTCTCCTCCCTTGGCGTCCATAATCTCTTTGTTTTCTTCCTACCATCCATATAACCTTTTGTCCGGCTTGCTAAGTATGGAACGCTTAAGATTAAATTTGCAAATCATTCTTATCTCCATTCACCATCGTAAACCTAGTTGTTATCCATTCCTGAGGCTCAACCAACCAACTTGATGGCATCAATCCCAAAAGCTACTTTGCCGTTACTTTTATCCTTGCTCCAAATTGTGTCTCTGGTGAGATGAACTTGCCAGCATTTGAAATTATATATATTGTTCACTCCTTTCTCTCCTTTGTTTTTTATGTTCCATCAGTTACAAAGTTACGCTACTATTCATTTATTCTTTATCACAGAAACAATCCTTTCTCTTGACTCTATGAATTCACATCCCTAATCTCTATCTTCATCCTTAAAACAAGTCATTGCAGTCTTCTAAAAAACTCATGGTACCTTCTCCTTGATTGTAGAATCAAACTAAACTCCTATCACGTAAAGTCTCCATCAGCTGCTTCAGTACATTTTCTCAATTTATCATTTAGACCTGTGCTATCCAATATGGTAGCCACCAGTCACATGTGACTCTTGAGCACTCGATTTGTGGCTAGTTCAAATTGAGATGTGCTGTAGAGTAAAATACACAATGAATTCCAAAGATTTAGTACAATTAAAGTCATGTGAAAATGTCATTAGTTTTTTCACATTGATTAAATATTGAAATAATGCTTGGGATATATTGGGCTAAGTAATACATATTATTAGAATTATTTTCACGTGCTTCTTTTGATTTCGGTGTGCCTGCTAGAAAATTTTAAATTACAAATGTGGCTCACCTTATATTTCTATTGGACAGCACTGCTTTAGACAATCAACAAGCCTATTCTGGGCTAGGCACTATGCAACAGGTCAGAGGCAATTTTAGGAAAGGAAGGAATAATCCAGCCTCAGCCCACCATTCACAACCCAGCTGGGGAGATAATACATTGAAAGTCAATTATGGATACAAGCAGAAGGCAAACACCAAATGACTGATGATTAGCCCTGTAGAAGCTCAAAGAAGAGAGGTAGGTAGTCAGCGATGCCTTTCTGAAGAAGCAGAATTTCAAAAGATCCTTGAAGGATATATGATATTTCTTTTCTGCAGCTATGGAAGAAAGAGAAAGACACTGTGGGACAGAGGAGGTGGGAAAGCACTGAGTAAGTGTGGGGTAAAAGGTGTAGAACAGTTTGTTTTGGGGTGAGTGCCGTGCCCTGAGTGACACCTGGGTCTACACATCTCCTGTGCCTCCAGCATGACTTCTTGCCTGCTTTTCATAAATCTCTGTCCCATTGCTTTCTTCTACACTTCACCACACTTAGGACCTGAAGCTAGGAAATAAAGGTTCATGCATGTTGCCAGCAAGATCTTTGTCCTGCTTCTGATCAAAGTTCCAGAGAGCATGCTTCAAATGTATGCTCCTGAACAATGGCATTGCATGGTGTTTTTGCTGAGGAAAGATTCTCCTGAACCGGGTAGACCCTTAAATGTGGTGTCCAACCCATGTAAAGAACAGAACTCAGTGTTTATTTAAATTACCACCTACTTGGGTTGACCAACCATTCTGATTTGCCCGGGACTGT